TTAATCATCTATACTTAGACGCAACTCCGGCAGAAAAAATCACTTGGAGGTGTTCCAAGGTCCCCCGAGACACCTACATAATCAGTATCATCAAATTCGGGCGACAAAATTCTAAATCCAACCCGAAAAATTAAGCAATAAGCAACTGTCACCCGCACCATGCTACATCGCTGATCGCACATAGTATAGTAACAAAGTTAAGAAATGTATTAAAGAAAAGCTGTGTAAAAAGGCTTACTATAAAGTTAACGACTATCTAGTTGATAAAAGGGCCTGGAACTAGTGCTAGACAGGCTACTTCTAATTAATTTGCGATATTTGTTTTAAAATAAGTGTTGTTTGATGATTTGCTATTTTAAAAGAGTACCGAGAGTTTTTTAGCCGGCTTTTCTCTCGGCCTACACCCTCTGTCTTTGTCGATGAGTAGGGATGCCAAATTCAAATTTAATGACGTGGAATAAGTGATACATGTATCTTATGTTTCATAATAAACATATTTTTATTTTAACTGATTTCTAACCTCAAAACCATGAGCCTTCCACAGATGATTGTTCAATATTTGTTTTTGACTAAAATCCCTGCCGCAAATATGACATTTTTTGCGATCGTGTGACGAGTACTTCGGCGAATGGTCATTGCAGAGTTTTACTAAAGGAAGGATTAGGGGTTGAGGAAAATGGATTTACGGGGAAAATTTCCTTTACGGGGAGAGGGAAGAGCCACGGAGCCCATAAACAATGAACCATAGACACATTTTTGAAGTTATACTTCTTTAGGCGCATTATGAAAAATTGATGAGAGTGAAATTTTACGATGCGCGCGCACCGTTACACAAAATTATCAGTATGAAATTAGTGGCGCATGTTGGCACACGCACCGCCTGTGTTCACTGTGTATTTATATTTATAATATTTATCCACATGCTTTGAGTTTCTACATTAAAAACACGTCATTTCATTTTGTTTTCATTATATAAGTGCGAATTTTATATGTGCGTCTGAATTATAATCAGAAGTGATTTAAATTGAATATTTAAATGAATACTAATTAATATTAGAAAATAATAATAAATTTTTATTTATTTAATTTTTCAAATGTAAACTGAACTTTATTGACTATAATGACTCCTTTTGCAGTCTTTGATTATTTAATTGTAATTAATTATTTGCATGCAATCAAAAACTATTTTTAATAATGCCAAAGAAGTATAACTTCTTACGCGCGTACATAAGTACACGCACCCTTTTTTTTCATATAATCTATGTACATGACAATATTTGATACACTTATTTTGGTGTCATTTCTGAACGAAGGTACGCGTAGAGTGTTTCATCAAACAGACTTTTCTTCTTCACTCTTCATTTCTGACGGTCGTGTTAATGGCGCCCCACAACTTCCTCCACTCTCCCCTGGGCAAAGCCTCTGCGCTTGGGTGATGGTAAGACCCGAAACAGACTTTAATACCTTGTTAGCTGACGGTAGAGGAACCATGCCTTTCAATCCGAACAATTACTGTGTAACTGGAAATAGAACCTCGGATCCAGCATTAGGGGCCATCCATAAAGTACGTCACACGTTAATGGGGAGGGAGGGTATCACCGAAGTGTGACATCGTGTGACAAGGGGCATGGGGGGGGGTCAATACTTTTGTGACGTCACATGTTAAAATTTTAAATACTAAAACGCAAAGTTTGGATGTGTATTAAAATTTACGAACTTGATCTATATTTAATTAATTAAATGAAAATAGCTGTTTTCTCTCGGTTATTTTTAAATACATACATAAATTTAAAAAATGTGTGACGTCACATCAGGAGAGGGGGGTTATAAAAATGTGACAACCTGTGACAAGGACGGGGGGAGGGGTTCAAAAGTCCTAAAATTCGTGTGACGTACTTTATGGATGGCCCCCAATAGGATATTTTTTGTGTTACAGATGGAAGGCAATATGGATACCTTTTTTCATGGGCAAGAGGCATATGTTAAGTGATAGCGTTGCCCATGGACGACTTTGGATTACGAGTCCGAATGCTCGCAAGTGCGGACCTTTTAAAAGCCGATCGTCCACCGGCAATTAAACTAAATGAAAACTAACTGGAACACGGTGTTAGAACGATACGTGATGTTTTCTCTATAGAGTTTTCGCTATAGGGAGAGCAGAGAAAAACGACCAAATATAACCAATTACAATAATTTATATATATATATAAACATATGTCACCGTAAAATTGTAAACACCGTTAGATTGTAATCTATCTCGCGAGATTGTAAACTGTCGAAAGATCCGTTTCACAATTTGACAGTTTCATTTCGATAGATTACAATCTACCGAATAATAATACGTTAAATTGTAAGCAGTACGTTGATGTTCACAATCTTTCGACAGTTTATAATCTCGCGAGATAGATTACAATCTAACGGTGTTCACAATTTTACGTTAACATATATAATAGATAGATGACAATGTTGCGTTTAGTAACTAAGACCAATCTTTCTCTTCTTAATACTCTTTGTAACGAAGAAAAATGCTCGGTCCCTTGGAATTCGTTATAAAGAGTACTAAACTACACTGTAATAAAGAAAAACTTGACCATGATGGAGTGGAAAACATCACGTATCGTTCTACTACCGTATTTCAGTTTCCAAACATTCAGAGGATCTCTAATCTGTCAAAGGAAATATTAATCAGGCTACTCACACCCATGCTTCATCCTCAGGTGTGTGAAGCAAGCTTTCTTACTTTTATAAATATTTTCGCAAAAATGACAAGCATACTCGCGATTGTCCTCTTTGCCACTGTGACATCTAAAATAAAAGAAACCAGAAATTTGGTAGCGCTATGCCTGACTCCCTAGAGTGGCTTCAGCGTGCGACTCTCAACCCTGAGGTCGTGGGTTCGATACCCCGGTTGTGCACCAATGAACTTTCTTTATCAAAACATCGTGATACCTGTTTGCCTTAAGACCCAAAAAGTCGACGTCGTGTGTCAGCCACAGAGTGTGGCGAAAGTGGGTGTATGTATAAGAAACTCTTATTATTCAAATGGTTTTTATATATTTTTACACAAATCAGTCATATGTTTACAATAAACAAAGCAAAAGGGAAGATGTATGTGATTTTTATTGTGTGCGATATTTTTTCAGACTTATCAAATAAAAAATATATATACATACCTATTCTAAAAATTATAGAAAAAGAATTGTTCTCTCAAAGTCGGTCATAATTTTTAAAAACGTTAGGAATTCAGTTCAGTAGGTTTAAGAAATCCATGCATCCTATTTAACAAGTATTTAAAGTTGGAATACTTTTTTGAAATTGTAATATATTTAGAAAGTTCTCTACCTTTTAAAGTGATCGGGTAGATCTCTTAGCGAGGCCCCACAGAGGTTACATTCTCTCACTTGTTTTCCAGTACGAGGTTCCAGACCATGGACCAATCTTATATGGTGCTGGACCTCCTCAGGGCTGGATAGCTCCAGATTACAATAGATACATGTAGTTTCATCCAAGGCCTCAATTTCCACATCATCAAGGTCTGAGGATAACATTAATGTTATTTGTACTGCTATAATAATTTTCATAAATTATGTTGCAAAGGCAATTAAAAAAAAGGTTTTTAGTTTTCCTTGAGATCTAAAATAATGTTGTTAAATTTTATTTATTATTAGCTCATAAAGCTTTATTAGTTAGTGAATAGGTGATAATAGAATTTTGCTAATAGCAAGACTACAACCGGAATTCTAACTTACCATCGCCATTCTTCTTGTGGCAAGAATTTCTGCAATGCCCTTGACTTGTGGAAGAGCTATCTCCTTCCTCTAATATAGCCTCATCTAGGTATTCTTCATCTGTAATGTGAATATTACTTTTTATTTATAATATCACTGCACAATAAAGTTCAGATATCTGTTTGCATGAGAATTACTTCTAGATAAACCACAATTTGTTTTTTAATGAACATAATTAATTATCTATATTTGTTTAATTATAAAAACTAAAGGCCTGCAGAACTATGCTTTATGCCTGCACTGTGAACTTTGGCAACAATCAATAAAGATCAGATTTTAGAGATTAGTTTCAGTTAAAAACATATTATATTGATCACTGTTTACAACTGCAAATTCTTTTAACATTATTGTGTGACACCAAAAGCTGAAGTTGTTAAACATTAAGAATAGCAGCAGATATTATAATTAAAATAACTTACTTTTTATTGTTTGTAGCATTCTTATATTTTCTGTGGTCTGGTTCTTGAAAAAGAGCGATTTCTCCAATGAATCAACACAAACAGCACATATATATTTAAAATCGTTTGATATCTGAAAAGTTTAATTATATAGTAAACAATTTATTTCGCATACAGCAAATGTTTCAGACAACAATAAAGACATAAAATTAACCTTAAATTCAAAACATGTTTCAAACATTTGCGCGTAGGTTTCATCATTATTTGTGTAAATAGCAAATAGGTCGCATAAATCACTTGTACTCATGCAACTTACACAACCTATAAAGTCTTCTTCGTCCTCCATTTTTACCTCCTTACTTGTGAAACTTCAAATCAAATAAAAATACATTTTCTAAAAAGTTCACGGCGACACATTTCATACACAATTTCTATTTGAAATTCGAATTTGGAGCGTTAATGAAATTGTTTTCATTCGTTTTTTTTTTATACCACAGACGATGTTTATAACTGTGTAGACAGTGTTCAATACCACAATTGTGTCACTGTCAGTGAATTCAATGGCAGCTGTCAAAGTGTCAACGTTAATGAAAAAGTTCATTATATGCGTTGGATTTGTAAACAGTAGAAGGATTGTGTAAACAAACAATATTAAAATTGCGTTTTTGCTTCGGCTCTAAAGTCTAAACTCGTCGAGTATCTAAATTTATTTAACTATGCGTGATCCGCTACATGACATTTCTTTCTAAGGCCCAGCTATAGCAGTTAGTTCGCTTCAAGTGCATTATTTTCTTTGACGAATTAATTAACAACCATGAAGCTGGAGGTCGATAAGAGTCTACTACCCATTAAGATTCACTTCTTCTTCTTCTTTGCTGGTAAGTTTATTACAAACAATTTCTTACCGTTTTTCCGTCTATAGATGTATTAAAATGTCTAATGTACAATGCATTATACAATTAAATATATTACAATTTATATCTATAAATACATGTAGTGGCGTTACAATCTAAGCCCTCAGATTTCTGCATTAATAATTTAATAATACCGATACAATAACTGATGAGCAGTGTATATATTTTAGAATCTGATTATCTCATAGAAATGAAGTTTTTGGAACGAAGTTCCTTATCGCGCGTTGTGAAAGGGGGCTACCTAGACGGAAAAAATTCTTACGAAAAGTTGTCACGACACTTTTTTGCTATTTGCTATTGTAATACACCGGTTCTCGTCCGATCACCGAAGTTAAGCAACGTCGGGCGAGGTCAGTACTTGGATGGGTCACCGCCTGAGAACACCTCGTGATGTTGGCTTTTTTTTTTGTAGGGATAAGAAATCAAAATTATTTTTGGAATCACTTAACTAAATTAGTCTTGTTGGAACGAAGTTATCGAGCGTTGCGAAAGGGGGCTAGACGGAATAAATTAAGACCAAAAGTTGTAACGACACTTTTTGCTATAGTTGTTATATTTTACATTTTCGATTTAGCCATCGCCAACGTCCATACCACGTTGAATACACCGGTTCTCGTCCGATCACCGAAGTTAAGCAACGTCGGGCGAGGTCAGTACTTGGATGGGTGACCGCCTGGGAACACCTCGTGATGTTGGCTTTTTTTTTTCGTCGTAAGATTGGTGTCGAGAAAGTCTATCATACTGTTATGATACCAATTAACATATAAATTAATCGAAAGGAATTTCGTTCCATCCGGGTGTCCCTTGACACCTCTAAAGTTTTTTTGTGTGTTCAAGTAGAGTCGAGAATGATTTATATTATTACATATTTTTTTTGTATGTAAGACGTGTGTACAGGACAACGTCTTTCGGATCCGCTAGTATAAATATTAATAGAACTAATCATATAAGATGTATGTGCATTGTGCAGTACTTCGGATAACCAGATCAATGTTAGAGTATAAAGGGAATTCTAAATTGCACACAACATTATCTATCTATAATATAAAAATTAATCGCAAAATGTGTTGATAAGCGCACAACTCAACAACGCCCGGACCAATTTGGCCAATTCTTTTTTATAATATTCCTTGAAGTACGAGGATGGTTCTTACGGAGAGAAAAATTTAAAAAAATTGAGTGAAAAAGTCTAAAAACAACACTTTTCTATATTCCCATACAAAATATTCATAATAATACATAAAAGTCAATTTGAACTTTAATACCATATCATAAAGTTCAAGTGTTAGTGGAGGGGTTCCGGGAAGGTAAATTTCATCTTTCTTTTTTTTATCTTACTAGCTAGACCGGTGTCCCTAATAGCAGAATAAGTATTAAAAAAAATAAAGAATCGACTGTTAGGCGGTACGATGTTCGCCAGGCCAGCTAGTTTTTAATAAAATCAATCTAATTTCTCACGTGAACGCCGATTCACGGTCAGGGTTGGCCTAAATTACAGTTTCCGACATGCGGGTCTATTACTAACCGACTTTAGGAGAGTGAGAATTTTATACGTCGACATAATATGTAGGATTCCGCTTGGACGGAATGGAAAGATGGAATGGAAATAAATAGCAAGATGATTAAGATGGCGCCCCACTGCACAGTTTTTCAAGCTGAATTGACGGCACTACGAAACGCGACTAGCCACATAAATAAAAAAAAGGGTGCGTGTACTTATGTACGCGCGTAAGAAATTATACTTCTTTGGCATTATTAAAAATAGTTTTTGATTGCATGCAAATAATTAATTACAATTAAATAATCAAAGACTGGAAAAGGAGTCATTAAAGTCAATAAAGTTCAGTTTACATTTGAAAAATTAATTAAATAAATATTTATTATTATTCTCTTACATTAAACAAATAAAACACTATTTATCTTTAAAACATTTTTATTTCATTATACTATTTATTTTTAAGTGACTCTAATGTCTTCATCAGAATTTCGGTTTGTAATTTTAAATTAATCATTACTTGGTTGTGCATCTACGAGGCTTCTCCAAAACTACTTGCTTTCTGCAACAAATAAGAGAATATTAATTTAAGCTCTGTCCATGCAAAACTTAAATTTTTTTATAATTCATATTATAAATTTTTAACACATTTATATTAATATAATTATATAAATGTGTTAATAATATAATTTGTAGCACATGCTACAGACCTGGATAGCAACTTTCTTTTATTCTATTTAGAGATAGAGATAATTTAAATATAATACCGGTGTCTTCCTTGTAGGTTTCTTTGGAGTTGTTTGGGGATTCTTGTTGTTCAGTTCGACATGATTTTCTTTAACCTTTCTTTAATCCTACAAAATAATGAAATTGTTAAGTTATGTTGTCACTGTTGTGCACACCTTTGTTTGGCTTTTTAGTATTCAAGTTATGTCAAAACTGATTTATTACCTTGTCATTGTTGGCTTTATTTGCTTTTGGGATATCAATTGTTTCCAAAATGATTTTATTTGTAATAACCTGAAATATATAAATAACATCTATTAATTTAAGTATCATGGTGAGTGGTTCGCACTCAGGTATAAAGGTGTATTATACCCACTGTCCATTATAAGTGGGAATGGGCTCACTTCTGGCAGGACAGAGTTTCAGTACTACAAGTGCAACATGGATGTTTTGAGGTATTACAATATCTCTAACTACCCTGTAGGGGAATAAAGTAATGTTGTAAGCATATGCCTATGCTTGAAAGGTTGAACCTTGAACATCACCATACATCATATTTATAATTAACATTCCTACCTCGACACCATCACAATCAAATTCATTGAAATCTACTTCAAACCATTGTGTCTCGAGAAGGTGATGGTGGCTTTGTTCCACCTCCAGTTTTTGATGTTTCACGGCGATAAGATGACAACTCTTTTTTGTATTCAATTTAGTGCACTTCCACTGATTCATCAATTGTTTTTTGTCTCTTGTCCTTATATTTGCTAGATTAAATCTGATGTTTTGATTAAATAATGTGGTCATTTTTTTGAGATGCAGGTACTTATTAAAATGTTTACTTCTCTGTTATATCGCTCCAAGCCTTCATTTTCTCCTTATTAGTATTCGTGCTTAAATCTTTGTTCTCAATTATTGATATATAGGGTCGTAGAATATTTCTAAAAAGTTGCTGTAACAAACGCAATAAACAAAAGCAATGAATAATGGTTCATGTTTCAGTTTTAATCAACAATAATACTCGATAATACATACGGATAGTTAACCTCAATTGTATTGAAGCACTCAGGAAGGTTAGCACAGTTTTTCACAAATATTTTATATTATTTCACAAATATTTTGTATAATGAAAATAACTACAATTTTGTAGGTATATAATTATTAATTTTAAACAATAATTAAAACTCCTATATTTGTTTAAAAGGTAAATGTCATTGTCAGATGTCAATTGTCATGGTCATTCAAAATTCTTGTTAAGCTGCTAAGCTAGAATATGCGTGAAGTTAGCTTCACGCATATTCTATTTCTTTTACTTGTAGTTTGTCTTATTCCCATCTCGCTCGCGCATGCTATATCACACTGCCAATTTTGTGTCATAGGTGCGCGCGCAATCGTAAAATTTCACTCTCATCAATTTTTCATAACGCGCCTAAAGAAGTACAACTTCAATAAGCGTGACGCTAAAATATACAGTGATTCTAGGTCAGCATTAGATGCTATTGTGAGTGGACGATCTCTCGATCCCCAGGTAGCCGAGATCCGCCGGAGCCTGGAAGAGTGCCGCAAAAGAGGAACTCATATAAGCCTCTTCTGGGTAAAGGCGCACGTTGGTACGCCAGGGAACGAGAGGGCGGACACGTTAGCAAAAGAAGCGGCGGAAAGACTAAGGTCAAAACCTGAATACGCCGCATACCCCCTGTCATATGTAAAACATCAGATAAGGCAAAAGACTCTAGATGTATGGAATGAACGCTACCTGGGGGGTGAAACAGCTGGAACTACAAAATTATTCATCGCAAATGTTAGAACTGCGTACAAATTAATAAAAGAGAAGCGTTTCACACCCCAGATGGCGCAAATTCTTACAGGTCACGGAGCCTTTGCACATTACCTTCATAGGTTTAAAATTAGGACAAGCCCAGCATGTGACTGCGGCGATGAAGAACAAACAGTAGAACATGTGCTCCTACATTGCCCTATATTCGCATCGTCCAGGCACGACCTGGAGCAACAAATGCAGATGACTGTAGACCGTAACGGCCTACAGGACATGTTAATAAAGCACAGATCGTGCCTGGAACGGTACTGCGACAAAATTGTGGAATATATAAAGGCGGCAAACAAAACCCCAATAACGGGTCTCGCGAGGAATTGCGTCCCGGCTCGCCCATGAATATTGTAAACAAAAATATTACAGATGTAGCCGGGGCGTCTTTCGCGAGACGTGTGATGTGCAAAGGTCCCTGGACACAATGGCAGGGGAGTAGAAAAGTGATATATTATAAAAAAAAAAAAAAATATGTAGGATAGAGATACAGTTTCGCTCGCTCTTTCTCTCTCACATCTCTTTATCAACAAAGAAATACATTAAAAGGTTAATTTTTATCAGAATTACTATTCATTCAGTCAGTTGATAATATGTATTGAAATACTAGCTGACCGGGCAAATGTCGTTTTGCCATGTATATCATTTGTAATAAAAAAATAGGGGTTGATCGTAGAGGGGTGAAAATTAGTTGTATGTATTTTTTAATGCTGTATCATAAAAAATTAAAACAGAAAAAAATATCTAAAAATATAAAAAAAATATTTAGGGGGATGAAAAATAGATGTTGTCCGATTCTCAGACATACCCAATATGCACACAAAATTTCATGAGAATCGGTCAAGCCGTTTCGGAGGAGTTTAACCACAAACACCGCGACACGAGAATTTTTATATATTAGATGTAATAATTTGTTCTGTTTCTTAATAAATGTCGAATTATTTCACGGTTTTTTATTTCTAAGTCAATTATTAATGCAATAATCATCGATATTGGATACTATGTTCGGTTATCGATAAATATCGAACATCGATGTTGGGCTTTCGATTATGACATCGATGTCAAGATCGATGTTTTTCTAATATCGATCATCCCTACTCTCAACTCGACTCGCCCGATTTGAAAAAATTGGATCAAACAGAAACAATAAAATGTAATTTGTTTTGAAGTGAAACTTTTACGGATGAAACACAATAATAATATTAGCGTCACGAAGATGTGCAGCGTTTTTGTGGAAGAAAAACGAGAGATAATATGTATTGAAATACTAGCTGACCGGGCAAATGTCGTTTTGCCATGTATATCATTTGTAATAAAAAAATAGGGGTTGATCGTAGAGGGGTGAAAATTAGTTGTATGTATTTTTTAATGCTGTATCATAAAAAATTAAAACAGAAAAAAATATCTAAAAATATAAAAAAAATATTTAGGGGGATGAAAAATAGATGTTGTCCGATTCTCAGACATACCCAATATGCACACAAAATTTCATGAGAATCGGTCAAGCCGTTTCGGAGGAGTTTAACCACAAACACCGCGACACGAGAATTTTTATATATTAGATGTAATAATTTGTTCTGTTTCTTAATAAATGTCGAATTATTTCACGGTTTTTTATTTCTTAGTCAATTATTAATGCAATAATCATCGATATTGGATACTATGTTCGGTTATCGATAAATATCGAACATCGATGTTGGGCTTTCGATTATGACATCGATGTCAAGATCGATGTTTTTCTAATATCGATCATCCCTACTCTCAACTCGACTCGCCCGATTTGAAAAAATTGGATCAAACAGAAACAATAAAATGTAATATGTTTTGAAGTGAAACTTTTTACGGATGAAACACAATAATAATATTAGCGTCACGAAGATGTGCAGCGTTTTTGTGGAAGAAAAACGAGAGAGCGATAGATACCGACTGAGAGAGAGTGAAAAGGGCGAAACGTTATAGAAATTCTATTTTTGAGTTTTCCTTATACAAATCCATTGTAAAATGCTTAGACACTTACAGAATGTGCGGATAAGATTACAACGATTCAAGCATAATTGTAATGGTTGGATTAACATTCCAAACAGATAGTAATGTTAACAGAGTGATAATGAAACGAATAATAAAGCTAATTTATCTTTGATGACTATACATATAAACTTCGTTAACTAACGGCAATTAGAGATAACTGCGGCATATTAAATCAAAAGTCAAAATCATTTATTCATATAGGTAACGCAATGTACACTTATGAACGTCAAACAATATACAGGGTGGCCAAAAAGTCGTGGATCAAACGCAAATAGGGGATAGATGAGGTCATCAGCGGCAAAAAATTGTTCTACAGGAGGTCTCTAAGGTCAACCCCTGCAGAGTTATGTTTTTTTTTTGGTTTTTATATGAAAATTGACTTTTTTTACTAATTCTTATTAAAATTCGAAAAAAATCTACATCCTGTATCTTTTTCATAATATCCACTAGATTGGTACTGATGAGTTCTTGCGTTAGACATACTATTTATAGTTGTTTATTGAGTGTATTGAAGATAATATTAAGTTATACGATATAATTTTTTTTCAAATCAAAACTTTTTGTTTATTTCGGACCCCACTGTGAAAAAAAAATACTCTACCGAAAAGTGACCCTGTATTACAAGTTTTGGCGCATTTAATATGGATTCTGAAAAGGTATTATACATGGCCATGAGTCGCTCTAATATCTTTTCTAGGACGAAAAAATAAGAACGATTCGGACTTATGATAGATTATTTACCTACCTGTGACCAGTACTGTGTGAATCGGACTAGATTCAAAAAATTGGACAGATGGCTGGAGGGTTACGTAGGAATTGGATTAGACGGTGCAGATTAAGTATTATGGTCAGAGTCAGGAATTTTGAGCATATTTTATAGTAAAATATTTTGTTTCCTAGTGTTTTAATACAATTTTAGTTTTTTCGTCCTAGAAAGATATTAGAGCGACTCATGGCCACGTGTATTACCTTTTCAGAATCCCTATTAAATGCGCCAAAAACTTGTAATACAGGGTCACTTTTCGGTAGAGTAATTTTTTTTCACAGTGGGGTCCGAAATAAACAAAAAGTTTTGATTTGAAGAAAAATTATATCGTATAACTTAATATTATCTTCAATACACTCAATAAACAACTATAAATAGTATGTCTAACGCAAGAACTTATCAGTACCAATCAAGTGGATATTATGAGAAAGATACAGGATGTAGATATTTTCGAATTTTAAGAAGAATTAGTAAAAAAAAGTCAATTTTCATATAAAAACCAAAATAAATCATAACTCTGCAGGGGTTGACCTTAGAGACCTCCCGTAGAACAATTTTTTGCCGCTGATGACCTCATCTATCCTCTATTTGCGTTTGATCCACGACTTTTTGGCCACCCTGTATAAATGCTTCTTATTTTACATTTACTGCCAGTTCTCAAATCAAGGGCAAGAACGAAAGAGAAGAAGTGGCAATAAACTCTCCACCACTCTTTTTAATCGCCAAGTTTTATGTTTTACAGAACGTTTACACAATGCAACCATTACACCATGTTTCACATGACATCTTAACTAATAAATAATAATTAAAAACAAAGATTTGTCCTATATCAGCAGGAGGCATGGTGAAATAGGAGCACGCACTTTCTCGTGAGAACAACACGCAAACACATAGTCGAAACAACTAACATCACCGCATACACAAATTCAATTACTACCGGTCACCACAAGTAGCACCCGTTCACGAGTATGACGCATGGCCAGTCGCCCTTCGCCATATTTTAGGAAGAGAGACAACCCGACGCATGGAATAATATTAGTGTAGTCATAAATTAAACAAAAGCCTGCGACTCTCATCCTCTCATATTAGCATTTATCACTCATACTGCGAAGGTTACTGGAGTAGAAACGCGGACTATCTTGGCTCGAGAAATCGGAAAAGGAAAGATGCCTTTGTTAGATTAAAATTGTCTCGATTCGCATATGCACTTCGCGAAATTTAAAAATCCACAGATATGAAAACGGCTCTAGTCACCTACTACGCATATGCAATATGCATACTCAAGGTTGAGCATGAGTATGCATATTGCATATGCGTAGTTTATCAGAATTAATTAAATACACTCAATAAACAACTATAAATAGTATGTCTAACGCAAGAACTCATCAGTACCAATCTAGTGGATATTATCAAAAAAGATAAAGGATGAAAATGAAATTTTTTCGAATTGAATTAGTATAAAAATGACAATTTTCTTATAAAACGCAAAATAAATTATAACTCTGCAAGGGTTGAACTTAGAGACCTCCCGTAGAACAATTTTTTGCAGCTAATGAACTCATCTATCCCCTATTTGCGTTTGATCCACGACTTTTTGACCAACCTGTATATAAGAAATGTTATTACACTGTTACAGAGTAGCTATAGACTTTAATTTCTTTATAAAAGTTAAGTTTGTTAATAATGTTAAGTACATTCTTCTTTTCGCAACGTGAAGCCAAAGCAAATATACCAAATAAATAATATATCTTATAAGAATAGAATTAACTATAATAAAGCATGCCCTCTCACAACATTGCTGTGCCTAACCAAGGTCCTTACTGTAATAAATTATAACGTGTCACGTGTAAAATATAATATGGACATAAGGAATGCAATAAAGATTTGACTTTGAGATCACCTACTTGCCTATTAGAAAATATCACGAAACACAGAAATCCGAGTTCATAATTATGTTTTCCACGTTCGTACGTGGTCTCCATATTAAATTTTAGACGCCATTTTCGTATTATGTTTTGAGAGCTTTTGACTGTCTTAAAAGACCATAGGAGCGGAGCGTGGTTATATTTCTTGCTATGAAAGCGAGAGACCGATTAGTATGACGCGAATTAGTCAAAATTTTTGGGAGTTTTGCATTTTGACATTTGTCTGGTGTGTTTTGTGCGATTTAAATTAACATGATTTAAAAACTTTATAGGCATTCCGCATTTGTTGCGCAATCTTTTTATCTAATACTAGCTGACCCGGCAAACGTTGTTTTGCCATGTATGTTGTATATTATGTCTAGGAAATATTTTTTAGTTCAATAAAAATAACTATCTACTATAATAAAAAAGGGGTTAATCGTAGAGGGGTGAAAATTCAGGGTTGCATGTATTTTGGTATGCTGTATCATAAAAAAATAAAAATCGAAATATAAAAAAAAATTGGGGTGGTTACCCCTTATCACGGGTTTGAATGATAGATAGTAGCCGATTCTCAGACTTACTGAAAATGCATAAAAAATTTCATAAGAATCGGTCGAGCCGTTTCGGAGGAGTATGAGAACGAACATTGTGACACGAGAATTTTTTAAATTCTCTCTATATGTATGAATTTTTGTATGGATATTCAGTAAGTCTGAGAATTGGACATCTATTTCACAACCCCATAAATGTTAAGGGTGGTACATACCCCAAAACATTTATTTTTAGACAAAACTTTTTGTTTTTAATTTTTTATGCTACAGCATACAAAAATACATATGACTCATAATTATCACCCCTCTACGATGAACCCCTATTTTTTATTATAGTAGATAGTTATTTTTATTGAACTAAACAAATGTTTCGTAGAAATAATATACATGTCATAACGACGTTTGCCGGGTCAGCTAGTAAAAGATAAATATTATTTATGGAGAAACTTTTCAAGATTTTATGCCCTACAGAAGATTAATACGTAGATTTCTTAACTGGTAATTGACGTAACTAAACTATAAAATGTAATTCTGCGCAGTTTAGTTGTGTTCATTAAAACTGGCTGTTTATATGACCATCGACAAAAAAAACAAAAATCAATTTTTAAATTTCAGCTCTAGGACCAATTCTGCCACAGATAAATGTCTTCGGTCGCCAGTTGGGTGTGTCCGCTGCTGTCATGGGAATGGTGACCGCTGTGTTGCCACTTCTGTGGGCCGCTGCTAAACCTATGGTTGGTTATGTAGTGGATTATTGGCCGGTGAGATATTTGTAATCTATTTTATTATTTGCATTTTTTCCTAGGTTTTAGATATGCTGGTTTCCTCATGATTTTAGCCTTCACAACGCAACGCCTTGATTTGACCACAAAACCTCATTTCCATGTGTGTTCAGTGTTGTTCAATGGCTTCAGAGTTCGACTCGCATCCCTGAGGTCGTATGTTCGATCCCCAGCTTTGCACCAAAGTACTTTCTATGTGCGCATATAATATTTGAATGGTGAAGGAATACATTGTGACGAAACCGGCATGATTTAGACCCATATAGTCGACGGCTGAGGCCCAGACCTAAACAGGTTGTAGCGTTGTAGCTGTAAATGTGTCATGTAAATTGTCATTAACAATGCGTCACGTACTTCTCGTCCAAGGGCTAAACGCAAAATAAAACCAAATTGGCGTCTTTGGCTCGCGAGTAACACCATTCACGAGCGAGCAAACCGTATGGCACGACGACTCAGACCGACCGGACCGTTGGTTTTCCGCATTCACAAGCGCGCCGCCTGCGTATGCGCACCGCGCCAATTGACTCGGCACGATGGACTTTCGCGCAGTTGGAATTCCATCGCGCCGAGCCAATCCATTTGGACCGACAGTGTTTTCACATTTATGGACGAATTTTGGATCGACAGCGTGCCAAATGAATCGATGGATCCGCCTTTACACAGTAGAACAGATTATTATCAAAAATTTGTAGCCAATAAAATTCTATTTTCTTTTTTCAGAACCACAGAAAACTAGTATTTATGCTACTTATTATAATAATGTCTGGCTCATATTGTTGTCTATGGTTCCTGCATGTTCCTGACGAGCCTGAAAAAATCGTAGAATCGATATACAACCTCAACGACACAATATATATAAAACCTCACTCAACCATAGATAGTTTGACACTTGACAAGTACAACTGCCACTGGAATTGTTCCACAGACTACAAATTTAATTTGTATCTATCTAACTCCACGCACGTAAGCACAATGTATATAGACGGAGCAGTGACGAATACATCTTGCTCGCTCTTACATATGCAAATGGAGACTGGAGGGAGCGAGATAGCATGCCTACCGATACAGGACTGCAATTTACTGTGCTACGAAGCGACGTTAGATGCGCGGGAAAATAATGATGGCGGGGTTGATGAAAGTTATTCGAGTTTTTACACGACTGTCACGTTTTGGGGATTTGTACTCATGATGAGTGTGGGGACGGTCGCGTTTAATGTTGCTAACTGTATTGGGGATGCTGTTTGCTTTGATGTTTTAGGTAAGTGCCAAACTCTGTAGTAATGAAAGTGGTTTCGATTGTCATATATCTATACTAATATTATAAAGAGGAAAGGTTTGATTTTTTGTTTGTTTGAAATGAATAGGCTTCGAAACTACTGGACCGATATCAATTCTTTCACCGTTGGCAAGCTACACTAATCCCGAGTGACATAGGCTATGTTTCATTTAAAAAAAAATAGGGATGCTTACTAAAACTTGAATAATCTAACCCAAGGTGTAAAAAAATAAACAAAAAACTTCCTTCAATCGTGTGCGCTGCGAAAACTATTAATGATAGAACACTATCTATAAAAAATGTCCCGACAGCATGTCTCTATCTTTTATAGTTACGTCACAATAAGCGTCCTTTTATTAATTTTTTTTTATTAAAATACCACCGCTAGAAAAGGCTCTTTATTTGTACCTGATCCTTATCAAAATAATTACCAACGTTTCTATGTGAAACGTTGGTAATTATTAGCTACAATTTAATGCCATAACCACCAAAAAAGCATGGTGGATTGGTGTTCTCCTGCCGTTTCTCTTGAATAGTTTACTACTATGTAGTATAACAAAAATCTTAGCCACAGCAACGCTTGGCCGAGTCTACTAGTTATAGATAAAAGAGCTTGTAACATATACGTAATAGTATGCATACCGTGGTAAAGTTCAATAAATACATTTTAGGACCGAATGGAGGCTCAAAGTACGGTGCCCAGAGAGCATGGGGCACAGTGGGATATGGCATAACTGCTTTATTGGGGGGCTGGCTGATTGATCTCTTCTCTGGGACATATAAGAATTTTACCCCCGCGTTTATTATAGTTATTGTGGCCACTTTTGTGGATTTGGCCAGCTGTAGGTCGTTAACTGTGAGTATTTTTTACTTAAAGCTGTCCTGGGGCACTGATCAAATTTCTATTGGCATAACTTTCTTGTCACGTGACCATTTTCAAGGTCACTTGTTAGTGTGGCACGTTATACTCCGATTTTTCATACCGTAGCGTTCTGACATTTCATAAGTATTGCTACTAAAAAGTTCTCCACCGAAAAAGGACAAATTTGACCCATTTGAGGGCAAAAAAAATAAACTACCTACAAAAAGGTAAATCTAAATATTTACTTACTCAAGTGACCTACTACAACAATAACAAATATTTAAATATCACGAACAATATATCGAATTAACTTTATTTTATTATTTAGCTGGCATCACTGCCTACTATTTCCAGGTTGAGTAAACCTTTTTAAAAAAATAAAATGTTATCTTAACTTGTGCGTTTTTACTTTTTGCGATGAAAAGGGACGTAATTATCACTCGCAGTTAAACCACTTTTAACGTGGAGAACCGCATTTAATAAAATGGATACATTCAGAAACAAATAAAATGGATGTACTCAGATGTTCAGACTCGAATTGAAATTGAAAAATGTGCCCGGCCAAAAAGGTTTGCCATCTCTGACATGTCGAAAAATGATAGCTGTCAGAATTCTACGGAATTAAAAAATCGGAGTAAAGTCGGCTTTGTCTCTGATTGAGATGATTCTTAACAATTTATGAAGGTTTCTTCAGTTTTTACATGATGTCTCTAATCTCTATGACAAATCATTTTTTTTTTGCAGCTACCGTCCCTTTCGAGCCCCACAGATTCTGGTAAAGCTTTAAAAAAAATCTTGAAGATACCAAAAGTTGTTGTCTTCATAATGTTCGCGGTCGTAGCCGGATTTTTCGACAGTTTCATCATTTATTACATGTTTTGGTAATTAACGCATACTTTTTAGAGCAAAAATATTTTTCTTAAGGCTATATGTGTGCGTGTATACATTTTAAAACCCTTCGGTGTGTGTAAATAAATTCACACAAGAACAAGCTAATTTGTTTTTTTGTTAGACTCCAATATGTAAAATTTTAATATGTCACTTGCATGCGTGACGGGGCAATCACGCGTCAAAATCTTTTTTTTTTTTTTTTTAATCTTCTCACTGAAGTCTGTGTGACAAGTTATATAAAACTTGCTGTACACCTTTTAAAAATATTTTAGCCATTTAATGTCGCAAGTTGCTTAAAATGTCTTCTAATATAATAAATATTGCACTAATTACAACAAATTTCTCATTTAAAAATTTAGTTAAAGTCGGCATCGCTAGAGTTTGCAGAAAGAGAATCCTAGTGATATTTGTCCCAGCAGCAGTGCTAAATTATCTTTTTTTTAAAATGGCTCTGGCACGATTTGTGCATTAGCCAGCGTCAAGTATAGGATTTTTTTATAATTCGTGCTTGTCTAGAAATTCGACCGTGTCCTCCATGTACAGCTTAAGCACTCGCCCGGTACCGCACAACCCTCCCAAAGGCCGAGAACAAATTTAAATTAATTTAAAACTTGCCCTCGAACCGGGAATCGAACCCGGTACCCCTCACCTAGCTGCCACTTAATAAGACCGCTAGGCTCGACGTTCGTTTTTCAGCCGCACAGACTATCGCTGTGTATACATCGACTACATATTATGGTGTAAAACCTGTATTTGTCTATTACAGGTTTTTAGAAGAACTAGCAGAAGTGACAGGATCCAAATCGAATATTAAACTTATAGAGGGCACCATTGTGGCCGGACAGAGTTTTATTGGAGAAGTGCTGTTTTTCTTCTTTTCCGGTGAGTTTTTGTTATTAAAACCTCGTGAAAATCTCTTTCCGTCAATTATAAATGTAGTATTTTTTAACTGTTCGTCAGTTTGTTATTATGTAAAAAAACTGTTGTTTTTTCTAAAATACCTTTATCTTGCTGGTATTATTTGCTATGCCAAACATGTTGTCTGTAAACACAACACAGACGCATAGGCTACTCGGAAATCTAAAGTTATGGATTTGTATAAAATGAACAAGACTTAAAGATTAGTTTGCCAATGAAGTTTCACTTCTGGCATGTGTACTATGTTCGCACGCACTTTTTTTTCATTTGACAGCCGTTAGATTTATAAGCAATTTACGCGTTAAAGATAAACATAATGAGGAATGGGGCATGTTTTAAAACATTCGTCCGACATAGACAAATCACATAGAGCGGAAAGAGAACTGTCTTGGCGGTTAAGCGAGCTTATATAATCCTAATTCATTTATTATTATTTATTTTATTTACTCTGTATCAAGATGATAACTGTCGAACTATAATTACGTTAAAAGTGTTGTCAATATAAGACCAATCATAATATCTCATATCCCAAAACGCTTCTCTTTCCGCACAGACTATAAAACAATGAAGAGGTATGACATTACGACCAGTCAGTGAATTATATATTTCAGGAAAAATATTAAACCGTTGGGGCTATGGCACTACTCTTACTTTTTGCCTCTTCTGCTACGGAGTGAGAATGATCGCTATCTCCCTCATACAGCATCCATGGCATCTTGTCTTTGTTGAGGTAATAAATGTTTAAGAAGTGCGTAATCAATTGTTTTTATAGTAAAGTTTTGAAGTAGGAAGATTCGTGTATGCGGTGATGTTGGTTATTTCGACTATGTGTTTGCGTGTTGTTCCCATAAAAATTTAAGTGCGTGCTCCTATTTCATCATGCCTTCTGCTGATAGAGGACAATATGTTTGTTTTTAATTTATGTTATTATTATTAATTATTTAAAATGTCACATGGGACATGGTGTAATGGTTGCAGCTCCTTACAAACAATTTGTAAAACAAAAAAATGGCGATTAAACAGAGTGGCGGAGAGTTTATTTCCAGTTCTTCTCTCCCGTTCTACGCCCTTCTTTTGAGAACTAGCAGTAAATGTAAAATTAGAAGCATTAATATGTATTTCTTTACTGACAAGTCATAAGTGTACATTATGTTACCGTTGTGATTAAATGGTTTTTTTTAGGGTAATTGTGTCTAGTGACAGGTTCTAGTTGTTACAAATTTAAAATTAAAACTTGTAAATTAAAGAGAAATTTAAATTTTTATTCATTTTTGTATGTGGCATTCGAGTCTTTAATGGTTATTTTGTTAAAAGCTAAGTTTTCGTCACGTGACCATACATACAAACTTGTTTGGCGTTAGCGGTCGCGCTTGTCCCAAGGCGTCGTAAAATGATCGACTTTTCTGTTTGTCATACTAATTAATTAGCTATGATAAATATCATGAGCTGAACTTGCTACTTTCATCGCTGGTGTCTAATGTCATTCATTCTTGTCATTTAACACTCGCTCGTACCATGAAGAAAAACATGAGGAATCCGGCATGCCTTAAAGCGGCCACTGACGATACGTCCATTAAGTAGACTTCCTTTTGTATGCACTCCAAATGGAAATTTATCGAGATACGGTACCATTCACAATACTTCCATTTGGATGCATGGCGTCACTTCGAACTTTGCAATCGTACGGAACGGAAATAAATAATACTATGGATAACAATACTTTACTGGTGGCAGCAGTTGTGTGTATTTTATTAAAAAGACAAAAAAAACCTAAGAGAAGGTGGATGAAGGATTGGTTGAAACAAAGAAATACTTTTATTTATTCAATAATATAAATATATTTATTTAAAAATAGAAATACTTTTATATTTATCTATTACTTCCAACACAAAATCACGCGCGGACAGAGACATAATAAAAAAAATTATAACGCTTGACAAAAACACAGCACATGCACCACCATCGACATCAAAACATAAACTGAAACAATAACCTCAAAAAAATGGACGCCGTTTCGCCCATTCACGGACAATTCGGACTGCTTCCATAATATGGCGTGGCGCACGTTTCTGACATTGATGATTGACGGACGGCCGCGGATGACGTCCATTTTGCCTGGACGCATGGATTTCAATCCGTTTGGAAATCCAGAGCTGCCTGACGTCCATCCAAATGGAATATTTTTTAACCATTCATGGGACGATTTTGGACGACGACTACTCCATTCGGATTAATGGACGTATCGTCAGTGGCCGCCTTTAGATCCACAAGGAGATAGCGCATGTCAGGCACTGAAGGTCACCTACTTCCATCTAAAAGATGATAAACACGCAACAGATACAAAAATCTGGAGCCACCTTCAAGAGTTGCATTACTTTTTTTATAAGCTTGTTTCCGATTTTGATTTTGACGTATTTGTTTTTGACAGATTATAATTGCTAAAGAATGCGTTGAATGATAGACGATAAGAATGACAATTTTTGTGTAAACTACATGTAAAATTATAATGTAAATTGTACATATTTTTGAAGATATACTTCTTCAGACGCGTTATTAAAAATTGATGAGAGTGAAATTTTGCGATGCGCGCGCACCGTGACACAAAATTAACAGAATGAAGTTGCCCACGGAAGATGCTACGGCATTGGACATAATTTAAAAACAACATTCGAATAATAATAGAATTTATGTTACTCTTAATGTAAGAGAATAATAATAAATATTTATATATTTAATTTTTCAAATGTAAACTGAACTTTATTGACTATAATGACTCCTTTTCCAGTCTTTGATTATTTAATTGTAATTAATTATCTGCATGCAATAAAAAACTATTTTTTAATAATGCCAAAGAAGTATAACTTCTTACGCGCGTACATAAGTACACGCTCAATTTTTTTTATTAGTCAAGCTAAAAAATTTGTACCTTTTTAGAGTATAATGCAAGGTCCGACCTACGCATTATGTTATTCCACGATAGTTGGCTATGCAGCTCACGTTGCACCTGAAGGCTACTCAGCAACTGTGCAAGGGATTGTCGCTGGGATGGACGATGGTGTGGGTAAGTTGTTAAAAAATTTAGAACTACTCCCGTATTTGCAACAGATGGATTTTTTTTTTAGTTTTAGAACACCATTATATCATCATGTGTATTTAAAAACACCTAGCTGGCCTGGCGAACATCGTACCGCCTAACAGTCGACTCATTTTTTTTTAAATACTTATTCTTCTATTCGGGACACCGGTCTAGCTAGTAAGATAAAAAAAAAGAAAGTTGATAAGACAACAAAATACATTGTCAAAAAACTAAAATTTACCTTCCCGGAACCCATCCACTAACACTTGAACTTTATGATATGGTATTAAAGTTCAAATTGATGTTTTAAAATTGAGTGGAAAAGTGTTCTTTCGTTCGCATACCCTACCGCGGTGCGACTGCTTAGTGTGGGAGGGTTATGTGGGACTCGCGAATGTGCATACCCACTAAAAGCCCAAGGCGCCACCAACAATCGCCTTAGGCGGGATGCGGTAACAACAGAGCCCTATCCGCTTCCCGACATGCGATGCGGCGGTTGTGTCCGCCTCTCCCTGCCCATTGTTGATTTGTGAAGATACTTGACACAGCAAGTATCCTTCACAGATCGGGCCATACGCTTTTAGGAATAGCTAGGGGAGATCGGGTCCAGTGCTTGCAGGGATGGATCACCATCCTTTCTTTCGAACTATATTAACGTAAGTGCTGACAACCTAATAATGATAGTTGTGGGGTATAATCTACACTGCGATGACGTCACACCTTAAAACGCGCTAACGAAATAATTCCGACCACGGACATATGCCTCTTCTTGACGTTCAGGCCCGTCAGTGATTCGATTGGCTCAGGATCTTTTTGACGTGTGAAGCCCCTTCCACCTCCTATAAAAGGACGAACCACGGTTCTCTTTCCCCACAGACTCTATAACGTTTTTTCTTGATGATAAATAATTAAAAATTATAATTTTTAGGACATTTTTTATGGTGAAAATACTGGTACTCGATATAAATAAATATCTTGCAGGTTTCGCTCTAGGATCTCTAGTAGGGGGTCAACTGTACAGTCGTGCGGGGGGTAGAGGGTCATTTCGAATATTGGCTGGTATTGCACTGTTCGCTGCGGCTGTCCACGCGCTATTGTTCGCTTGGCTCACGCGAAATGACTCAGGTAACATTTTTTTTTATTTTTATGCCAAATATTAAAAAAAATTATACGGTTAACGTTTCCCTTATACAAAAAATATAATCGTTAATATTTCAAAAAGGAGGATATCGTAAGGAATGTCTCTGGATTTCGACACGTGTCAAACAGAAGGCTGATCTACTTGTCTATGAAATAAAAATGATCAAAGGCTCATGCACGGTTGTATAGGTCTGTTATCTAAAGCTGGCGGCTTCAACACATTTACACTTTGTGCTTGTGTAGTGTCTGTGAATGAGCGCGAGGCGTGACGTCATACTGAATATGTATCATGAAAAGATTGTCCGTCTCTCTCGCACTCGGTCAAGCTTATGAGTATAAAAGAGACAGTTATTGTTTGGCTTTTGCTACTGTTTATAAATACATGTTGATCTTTTTTCTCAGTATTATTTTGTCTGTGATTGTTTATTTATTTGGTTGGAAGTTAGAATACTTAGAAAAATATGTCTTATGAAATAAGTGGTTCCGGCAGAACACTAACAGGACAATCTCGTGAAATAGTGTACAATGTTTTTCATTATTTTAAGCATCTTAATAAAAACAGTTTAATGAAAGTATTGTTAGTAAAGTACGCAATCAGAATAATATAAATATATTATATTATCGTATAATATATCATATCCAGAAAAAAAACCCACCCTACCTTACTAAAACCAGAGTAGACTAAATATAGCTTGGAAAAAAGTCATATTTTTAAACATACTGCATAGTAAAATTGCATTAGTGTGAGTACTGTGAACGCGCCAGCTTTCGATAACCGACCTATAACGCCACTTCATTATTAATACAATATCACATACACACAACGCAAGTTTCGATTAATTAATACGTGACATGCCATCTTCTGTCCAATATTTAAAGACAATAATAATACTTGTGCATTAAGAAACAAAATCACATGAAAACTCACGGTAAAGTAATAATGCCAATGCCAAAATGTTCGCCAGGGATCGACTGCATAATGGCAACATTTAACACTAATTATGACATTACAGAACAAAAGCGACCTGAAGTGACGTCACAAGAGGAGGGCGAAAAAATGCTAGCATTAAATAATAGCATTTATCGGGACACCGTCGTTCCAGTTGTATAGAAGGATAGTATTTTATAAATTGTATTACTGTGATAGACAATTCAAGAGATTTATATTATTATATAAAATATTTTCTTGCCATATATATTTTTATCTATTGTTAGTTGTACATAATCTGTTGTTGTTCTATTGTTTTTGATGTTTTGATGTGTTATCTGTGCCAAAGATTGTAAAAATTCCAAAGTGTCGCTTGTATTAGCAATTTGTTAAATATATTTTAACAAAAACAAAAAACGATACGATATTTATTATTTAGATTTAAGATGGAGTTGAATAATGATACGAAATTTTAGCACCTATATAGATTTGAAAATTATACATATCATAAAGTACATACTACTTAGTCTAAAATGTAATTTTTATATACATTTTGAATAAAAAATATATTTTAAAGTATTTTTATTTATTATCATTCATTTTAAAAACTACCTGACAAGTATTCAAAGTATAGATAGATACCCATATCAAAATTAAAGAAATTCATACCCCTTTGTATAATTTGGAATTTAAGTGCTGCGTGAGTTTTGCCTTATTGGCTCTTGAGTCCATAAATTGACACTAGCGCAATGTGCACTGAATTATTAGGTTTGTAAAGCCTATTTTATGTAGAAATTATTTTATTGCAACGTATTATTATCAACTATGTTATCATATTCTCATTATTAAAAAGCTTAAGACAAGATTTAAGCTTTAGCTAATATTTTATAGAAAGTCCAATCAGTCCAATATTTTAGGATTATCCCTTCATATTCTTCATCCAAGTACACTTCAATAGACTTATTACGTCAATGAGACCGCGCGGAGCTTATGAATTTTTAAGTGTGTTTTAATTTGTGAAATATAAAAAATACTTTTAATTATTTACATATAACAAAATGTGAGCGTTTCAAGTGATTCATGTTTCTACATTTTTAAATGTCGGCAAGGCAGGAAATCTTGCAACGAAAGTGTAGATAAATTTGTTGTTTGTTTGAATGAGATCTTTGCTAATTAATAGCTACGAAAGACATACCTCAACATCTAGTATAAAAAGTATTAACTATTATAATTTCTATTGCTATGCGTAATTTCATTTTTTCAAAAAATATATACTTGAATTTTTTTCACATTTAGTACAAAAATAACAACTGGTAATTTAGCACTGCAGACTGTTATAAATGACTCTGTTAGATAATCTGTACTATGTCTCTTCTTAATCTGTGAAATAGTGTCTGACATCTATTTGACATTGATAAATGACAACATATTTGATATTTATAATTTAAATTTTAATCCCAATCGGGGCGCAGCTCGGTGCCAGATAAAGCGATATCAAAATACAAATTCCCTAAATAAATATGGCATTTAAAAGTGATTTAAAACAATTATTAAAGCCCTATTACTGGCTGAATATCATGCTTAGTTTATCCTACGTTATTGCTAAACGGACGTATTTAACATGTGAGTTTTTGTTTCCAAATGCCGACTGTGAATTAGATAGCAGGGAAACGGAAATCCTATTTTTCCTAATTATTGTCGTCATGCTCAGGACAAGGAAGGCTGGAAGTGTGACAATGGTCAATTATTTATCTTCATCCTTTGTTTACACGAAGATCGCAAACTTAATTCTGTGGTTCTATGCAGATGTAAGGTGTGTATTCAAAAATTTATCTTACTTTATATAATGCTTAATATTATGTAGTATATCCTTATTCTATAGTTGATTAAATAGGATATAATCAGATACAGTAATTAGCACAATTGACACAAGAGAAGGTTGAAACATGCTAATTAAGATAAATATATATACAATATTTAATGAATTTGTATGGCGAACTCATTGGTCACATATTAAACTCGAGCTTTTACTTCATATTATGGAATAATTACTATCTGGCATACCAGGGCCTGACACATAATTGCTGCTCTCTTGGTACAGATTAAGTTCACTAGTTAAATTCCCTTTACCACATTATTCATGTCCCACTGAAGACAGGTTGAAATATGTCTGCCTGTCTGTCTCTCTTAATGAATAATTATATATATTGTTATATTATAATATAAATTACCTAGTAATTTTATTTCAATTACACACTTAAGTAATGTCAATGTATCTGTCTTATTAATGAATACTTATCAGTACAATTACACAATTGTAACAAAAGCATAAATTCTCTCTTATCAAATTGTTTATTTACCTTTTTTTATAAATTTAAAGATCAGACATCAATTTATCCTTACTGTACTGTGATTACTTTAATATCTGTAGAATGTTAATAGGTAATATAAAACTTTTCATAGGTACGGAATACCATATGGTGCAATACTCATATTATCTGCTCTTCTTCTCCCTGAGCCCACTTATTCCGGTCCAGAGCTGGTAACCTACTTCAGAGGAGCCCAAGTGTTTGAAGATGAACTGAAGCATCATAAGAACACCACCTGGATTGTCTGTTTGTATGCAGCATGGCATCCAGCATGTGTTAACTTTGCTCCTGTATTCTCCGAGTTGTCGGCCAGTTATAGTTTGGAGAACTTCAAATTTGGAAAAATTGATGTTGGCAGGTTTGTATTGATTTGTTTCAAATGAATTTAGAATAAAAAAAGGGTGCGTGTACTTATGTACGCGCGAAAGAAGTTATACTTCTTTGGCATTATTAAAAATAGTTTTTGCTTGCAAATAATGAATTACAATTAAATAATCAAAGACTGGAAAAGGAGTCATTATAGTCAATAAAGTTCAGTTTACATTTGAAAAATTAAATAAATAAATATTTATTATATTATTATTTTCTAATATATTCAGACGCACATATTATAAATTTCGCACTTAAATTGAAAACACGTGTTTTAAATGTAGAAACTCAAAGCATAAATATAAATACACAGTGAACAGAGGCGGCGTGCGTGCCAACATGCGCCACTAACTTCATTCTGTTAATTTTGTGTCACGGTGCGCGCGCATCGTAAAATTTCACTCTCATCAATTTTTCGTAACGCGCCTAAAGAAGTATAACTTCAACAATAGTCTCAGTTTCTTCTGTTTTCCTTTATCATATCCACAATCCAAAAATGCAGAGATTTTTTTGGGCCATTAGCAACAAGGATTTTCGAATAAATTCCAGATACCCAGAAGCAGCAACTAAATACAGAGTACAAGATGGGCCGACCAGTCGTCAGCTGCCAACTTTGTTACTCTTCAGTGAGGGTCAGGAGAAGGCGAGAAAGCCTCATGCTGACCACACTGGAAAGTTGCAGAAGTGAGTGTTATTTCATTAATACCTTTTTAGTGTCACTCTTAGACAAACTCCTGCGCAACGGCTTGAATTTTGCGAAAACTTTTTGTGTTCGGACCCCTTAAAATACTTATGACCACCAAACCCATTTTAAAATAGCGATAATTGTACTCTATACATATTAAAATTCCTAATTTAGGCTGAAAATGGTCATGAACAAAAAATACTGGTATTATTGTGAAAAAGCGTGGGTTGCTCGATAGACGAAAAATATGGCACAGAGATTGCTTTAAAAGCGTATTTTATAGTTTTTTTAAACTATATTTATTTTCCACTTTTTAGTCCTAGCAGTATATGTTGTCTCAATTTAATCGTATTGCTTTGTGGACTTTTTTTTTTAAATTTCATTGTTTTTTTTCGAAATAAACCTATGAAATTATTATATTGTCGCTGATTCTTTATAAGTGTACAAAGTTTGAATTAAATATGTCCGTTTAAAGTGGGTCAAAATCTAGTCCGAAGGAGTCGGTTACTTACATACATATATACATACATACATAGATACAGGTGAAGCTAATATAAAGCGTGTAAAAAACAAATAATTTCGATGACGAAAATGATGAAAAAGGTTGTAGCCTTTTTAGGTCTGGGCCTCAGATGTCGGTTTCATGATGAGGTCATCAGCCTGACACACTCCGTAAACACACAGATAAACCGTTTTACCCTTAAAAACTCACCCCCTCCCCTTCCCGACCTCAGACCGCCCGAAATTTTATATATATAATTCTTCTGTGAGTGTGTATGTCACTGAACTTCTCTCAAACGACTGGACCGATTTTGATGAACTTTTTTGTGTGTGTTCAAGGGGATCTGGGAATGGTTTAGATTCACAAATCAGCCCGGCAGATGGCACTGCAGTCGGTACTTTCATACTTTGCTTAATATCCTAATCGCTTTAAATATCATGCAGGACAACGTCTGTGGGGTCCACTAGTTATATATATATTTTTCCTTTTATTTTTATAATATTCTCCTCATTTTCCAATGGGTTCCTACTATTATTTTTTTTCGCTTATTATTTTTAAAAGCTTCTACCCTGGTCTAATATCATTATCTGTAACTCTGAGGTAAAAACTCTGGTTAGTGAGAATCCTCTGTAAAGAAAGAGAGAATGAGATCGCGGTCCTGAGGTTTGGCTGTACTTATGGACAAACAGCCAATACCAATTCAGCTTATCTATAATCTTAATATATATAAATTACGTGTCACGTTGTTTGTCCGCTATGGACTCCTAAACTACCGAACCGATATAAATCAAATTTGCACACCGTGTGCAGTTTGATCCAACTTAAAAGATAGGATAGCTTACATCTCAATTTATACCCGTAATATTATTTTATTGCAATTTATTTGTTTATTATTTGATAGTCACAATTCTAACAGATTGCTGTGTTGTGTTGAAAGCTGTGTTGAAAGTACCAACGTTTCACATAAGCTACAATTTAATGGATTCGGTAGTTTAGGAGTCCATAGCGGACAAACAACGTGAAACGTAATTTATATAATATGTTAAGATAAAACTTTAAATATGCACTAACAAAAGCCATTATTACATTTGTAATAAAGCAGAAGTCTAGTGGTTAGTACCCCTGACTGAGAATCCATGGGTCCCGGGTTCGATCCCCGGCTGAGACGAACATCGATGTGATGAGCATTTGGTCATTGGTGTTGTGCGTAGGTCTTGGGTGTTTAAATATGTATGTCTATGTATATATAATATGTATGTATATCCGTTGCCTAGTACCCATGACACAAGCTTCACCAGCTTAGCATGGGGCTAGGTCAATTGATGTGAATTGTCTTTAAAAAAAGCCAGTCCTTTAATCGTATTTTTACACGGTGATACTCGGAAACGATTCATGGCGCCAAGACTGAAGTACGTCAAAAATTTATTTTGACATACGAGTCATAGTTCGCGCCGTAACTCATTCGTGAATCTCACTCTGGGTGTCCACGCAAGTCTATGATAGACTAAAGATTAATTTTTTTTTACAGATTTCTCTTTTCCAAAGACAATATTAAGGCTGCATTTAACATTGATGGGATTTATGAAGAGTGTAAATCTAAGTTAGCCGCTAAATCTAAGAAGACTGAAAAAGTCGAATAATTGTTTTATATTTTATAAATTTATTTCTTTTCACGATGTTCGAACCCCTATAACGTTTATTATGTTTAATTATTGATAACACAATAAAAATAAGAACTATTGTTTGTATGTGTCATATGTTGTTGTTAAATACTGGTTTTGGAGTTGGCGTGACAACGTCTAATGATGAACACCGGCTGTTTGTGCGAAAAAGCATGAAATTGTCCCGTTACGCTCATTGTACGTCCGAGAATTTATTCCTTCTCGATACAATCCATACAAAATAGTGATAATTCAATTTAAAAAAATAGTGCTTGGAGTCCCTCCGCGGAAGTGAAACTTAGTTATGTGGAAATGAAAATAGGAAGTATTCAATCTCGCTCTGTCTCTTTCTATTCCCCCAGTAGCGTTAAACGTTTAACGCAACCTTCTTGGAAGTTTCACTTCTTCCGCGCGGATTGACTCAACGCACAATTTTTTTTAATCAATTTATATCACTTGAAATAAATAATAAAAAGATAAATGCAAGATTGTGAAACAAATATTATACAAAACTATGTAATCGTTTTAAAAAGTGAATAGTTTATTAAAATAAGAACTATCTTAAGAAACTAGAGCGACTATCATAAATAATATTATATAAGTTCATTCGCAGGAATGACATTAGCTCTTGCCCTGTCACGTGACCGTTTTCATACAAATTCGTTGGGCGTTAGTGGGTCACGCTCGTAGAACGGTGATCTTGTCTAAAGCCCGGGTTATCGACCCAGTATGTCAAAAACCTATTATTGACATACTGGAGTGATACGCGCCAAATCACTGAAATATTAGTTCATGATAAATTCGATTTTGTTTAAATGAATTAATTAAATTTTTGTTAATTAATTTACTATTATTTAGATCTCGATTGCGATTGGCATTTAATAGTTATAATAGTCAAGAGCAGCTTAACAAAGATCTGATTGAATTGTTATAATAACAATTTGTATTTTAATTTTTGGGGAGCGTTCAAGTATTACGTAACGCAATTTTTGGAGATTATTGACCCCCCCAGTAACTCGCCGTAACATTTTTCAGTACCCAAGTATAGTAAAATGTTTCGTGACCACCTAGAGACTCTTTAGTTATTATTATGTGGCGCAAGTCGAACAAAATATTCACAATAACGCGTAATTTAATCCCCACCACGCATCATAACGTTTCACAAAAGGACCCCCCCCACCCAAAATACGTTACGTAATACTTGACCGGTCCCTTGAATAAAAAATCACTTGAACGTTCTAACCGAAGTAGATGTCTCTTTTCATTAAACGTAAACACAATTTGAGAGAAAGAGACAAGAGTACTTTAGTTTAGTGTAGACTTGTTTTTGAATAAAAATTAGTGTGAATAAGAAATCTGTTGCAAGCTTTGTGTTCATAGTTAAATTAACATAGTATATTATGGTGTTTTATTGTCATAGTAGTATAGAAGAATTTTACCTGTCAATATATGTCCAGAAATGTGTGGATGGCTCCAAAACTAATGAACTGATTTTGATGCTATTAAAATTCTGTGTTAAACTTGTGAGCGAACTTCTGAGAATTGTGGACAAATACATAGGAAATTTAGCACACATTAGAAAGCCTAAATAAAACAGTGGAGTAACAACCTTTTTTGTTCTCAGATTTCTGTATCTGTTTCATGATCAATTGTCAGTCTAATAGGCAAGCAGGTGATCTGTGCCTAACATACGCCGTCGAGGCGGTCGACTTATTGGGTCTAACGCTGGCCATAGACGGACCGCATGTTGTCAGTGATACCGACCATACTAAATTCATATCCGCAATACACGGACCGCTCGAGCAGTTCCTGAGCGGTCGGAGCAATCGCTCTGCGGTCGACTGCTTAGAGCTGCCGGACCCACCATACACGGACCGCTACAAGCGGTTGCTGCCGACCGCACGCCACTCCCTCAAATAAAATACTAATTCATCAAATGAAACCACGGACATTCTAAAGTAGTTGAAAAACTTTTTAGTGTCTTCTCTCAGCTGGGGATACAAAGTATGAAATATTCTATGCTGTTCTCTTGATTGTAGTATTGGACGCACCCACATACTACGGTGTCTTCTACGCATACGCTTGCGTAATAACAGCACATGTAGCAGTGTTTCTTCATCGAATTCCATCTTGTAAATGAACTCGCATCAGTATTATTTGCGGTCGAACACAACTGCTCCAAGCAGTAGTAGTCTACTGCAACATGCGGTCCGTCTATGGCCAGCTTAAGGCAAGCCGGTTTCCACACAATGTTTTCCTTCACCGTTAGAGCGAATGTTAAATGGGCGACAGCGGGAATTTATAAAGTAGACAACGGTTGTACGACCCTTACGCTGAAAAGTCATGTTTCAATATGGCAAGTTTATAAATGCCCTAGGAAATTTATAAACTTTGGCAAGATTGTAAACGAGAGAATTGATAAACCAAACTCACGCGTAAAATAATAAGTATTAAGAAAGACCTACAACGCACTAGCGGCTAGCCGCGATGCGGCGTGCCGCTGCGGTAGGCCGCACATCGATTATTACATGAAACCGCACGATAACAACGCACTCATTTGCGGGCAACCGTCAACCGCTCTAGTTGATCTGGAGCTGCGGCGAGCCGCACCGGTTGAATGATGCGGCGCGCCGCGTCCCCTCCACGCACTCGGCGCGGTTAGCCGTCCTACCTACGGCATCACATATAATTATTTAACAAATGTAAACAAAATATTGGAAACCTATTTTAAAAGAGTAAAAAATATAAAAAAAATATATGTTTATTATGGAACATAAGATACATGTATCACTTATTCCACGTCATTAAATTTGAATTTGTAATATTTCAAGAAGCACTGACGAGTGACGATTGCGGCAGACCGCAATAGGGACGGTTAGCCAGAATACGGCATGCCGCTACGGCAGACCGTATATACCGCGGCCTACCGCAGCGGCACGCCGCATCGCGGCCAGCCGCTAGTGCGTTGTAGGCCTTAGGCGCAATACACACTGAGCCCGCCGGGCCGCCGACATATTATGTCGGCAACTTTTTGTCGGCGGTCTAGTTGGCGGCTTCACTACAAGTCGGAAAACTTGGTCGGCGGCTTGAGATGAGAAATTTATTTGGCAGTCAGTGATTGCCGCGTGTCGATAAAGTTTGCGTGGTTGTGTCATATAATTTTGGTGGTGTAACTTCGATAATTCAGTAAATAGAAATAATCTTAAAAATGGACGATAGAAGTGATCTGTTGATAGCAGTAATAAAGTAAGTAAGTTAAAAACCGTAATAAAAAGGCGGAGCTTAGCGAGGGGGGGAACTAAAAAACACGTTTTGTCTTAAATTCTATGAACAATATGTACATTCGAATAACCCTGTATGGTGGGTGAGCACGTTTGAACATGTTTTGTACTGTACAATAAAAAAATTTGGATAAAAATAATAAATGCATTTTTACTTACAGAATCGATCGTGGCAGTAGGAGTATTCTTGTTTTGCAAAAAACTAAATGATTTATATGCAAACCACTTGCTCTGATAAACACAATCTGAACCGATACCCGATTTTTTTGAGTCAGTCACTTTTTTTTTCTCTCTATAATACTGACTTGTCAAGTTTTTAATTTTTCTTTCTAATTCTGATACATTTGTATTAAAATGGTTTGCTATTTCATTCAATGAGTCGAAACGCTTTGGTCGACTTTTATGATCGGAGTGTTTTGGATTCCACAATACCTCCTTCTCATGATAAAGATTAATTAACGTAAGACATTTTTCGTCGTACCACTCCATGTCGTAAAAAACAACAAGCACGTCACTACAGGTCGAGCGTCGCCGGGCAACTGAACGCAGGCGTACCCAAGCCGCCAACATGTCGGCGGGTAACACGTGCAGGCGCATGTTGCCGACAAGATTCTTTTAATAGAGGCCGCCGGGTTGTGTCGCCGGGCTTCGTCAGCGGCCCGGCGGGCTCAGTGTGTATTGCGCTTAAGCGATAACCAAACGGCATGTGCGCTCTGATTTGTTGAATAAGTCCCTAACCTAACCGTTTAGAATCTTACGAATGGATATCCGTTAGTTTATAAATTTACCACGAGACGTAGCAAATTGATAAATTTCCTAGGAAACTTACAAACTTGCGGATTTTGATATGTTCCGGTGACATTTACATAAAAAAAACAAAATATGTGATAAACTTTAATTTATACTCAAATTCAGACTAGATTCAAACACTAAACTATATTAATTTAAATGAAACAATGTCATATTTGTTACATAAATAATATATCTGGATTAAAATTTGATTTCAATGTTTAAAATTTTTTATTACTCTGGTGCAACAAAGATTATATTATACTTTACAAAACACTTAAACGCTTATGTTTTACAAACAAATTATTAACATAGACAGTAGACATTTCATATATTTCAATTCTTACGCACAACAGATAAACTATAGAGAATGAATCTATAACAAATAATATATTATTTTATATAATGCAATAGTCTTGTTTCAATTAAGGTTGAATATTTTTGTGTATCGTATATGCACACCAAATACATAGCCACCTTGGATTGTTACACAATTTGTACCCAATTATACGGTCTGGCAACCGTTATAACCGAAATTCTATCTTCACAATTGAATTAAAGATGGCAGTTTCACAATACAAATGTATCAAAAACCATATCTAAAAAATTTAGAAATTTTAAAAAGCGTGGTTTTTCTTCAACTCTTTCTGTTGTAATTTTTCTTTTTGGTTTAGAAACTGCAAAAAATAAAGTGTATTTAGAATAGTTGATAGTTAGGGTAGTAGGACTCCTTTCTCTGCAATTAGACTCCTAATTGGTCCGTTGTGCGTAGTTGATAGTTGTATTTAGTCAATGTTTAATAGTTCTACATCAGTAAATATAATGGCAGCCTTTGTCATAATTATTAAATATAACTTGATTCAAATAAATAGTGGGAAGTCATTTGCGTGATAACACTGTTTATGTTTACCTGTTAATTCCAAAGATTAACAAACTACTCTTTACCTATTTGATAGCAAATATACACATTATACTAAAGTAGAAACAATATTAGTACCATTTTGACTTGCCCCAAATCAAAGATAAATCCAAAGAAACAAGATGAAATTGACATAGTAACAAACAAAATGTTGGTCATGAATCATATAAACTCTTAGTTTTACAAGAATGTTCTTTATTGTATAATACTTGTAAAGTTAAAGGTGAAAATATACATACCCGTTGATTCAATTTTGACTTTATTAAATCTTATTTCATTTGCATCTCCATCATCTAGGAAAACATTGATGCTGTATGTTGATACTGGATGGGCTCCATGTCCATATACACCTATACCTGCAAGAGATTTTATTACTTTTTTGCCATTTATAGTACTATCTTATAAATTTTATTTTATCAATATTGCAACTGAAAATATCAATATTTTATTACAATGGGCGTGTTTGGCCGAAGTAAGTACTTACTAAACTTAGTAAGCCAGTAAGCATAAAAAAATTAAAGTCTTACAAGCTGACTGTAGCGCTTTTCGGCCAGGACAGACTTACTGGCTTATTAACATAACACAAAACACCGGTTTATGTCATATCCCGTACATAACCTCATAGACTGAATATAATTGACAGTACTAAATTTAGGAATATAATTTAATACCTGTGAATAGTTTCAAATGGATAATTTTATGAGAAATTTTTTATTGGATATTTTATTGTCCGTTTTGTTTACATCAACAATAAGCAAAATGGCGTCGTATATTAAGCCATACTTACTGCGTTAGCACTTATTTTGTGTCCCGGCCGAAAATTTTGTAAGCATAGTAAGTGACTTACTAAATTTAGTAAGTACTTGCTTCGGCCAAACACGCCCATTGACTTTCTATTTATAAAAACACATTCACGCCCTGATTTCTGAATATACTATTGTAACTATTTTTATTAGATAAATCTACTTACCAATGGGTCTTGGGAAATCAGCAGGAATTTTGACAATATCAACACCAAAGCTTATAGAGCTGAAGTTATGTTTACCAAATTCATAACTTGGTCTGAAAATGGTTAAATTTATTATAAACCAGAATTTTAACTTACAACCCTATTATTTCATACTATTTAAGCCTAAAATTGTATACAAGGCCTAAAAAACCTTTAATGATTTTTTTTTACTAGGTGTACTAAATTAAAAACGTGTTTAAATAGTTGTAACACACAAATATCAACAATTATGTACAATTTGGTTGAAACAATCTATAACAATGTTTGTATTCTAATAACTCATGACAAATATATTTGTATTATAATATTAAATTAAGTACATTATTTATGTCTTGCCTTAAATTATCAGCTACATAAAGATCAGCATCCCCACTGAGAGAAGTTAATTCAACTCGTAGAGGCCCACTATGCCCCAATTGCCAATAGGAGAAGTTACCAGCACCCACAACTCCAATAACGGTATCCAACAGCATATTATCGATAAACGCCATATGAAAAACATTGCTTAATAATGACCACATACTCGAAGCAGTGATTATCGCAAGTAAGGCGAATATTATTTCACGGATCATATTAATTGTAGTTTGCACTTTGCAAATTGCAGCCTGCTATGGAAAATGTAAAGAAATATAATCTTCACTTCATTTGTAAATTGAGCACTGTAGTTCACAAACGTGAAACGAATTATTCTACATAAAAGCCTAAGCAAATCCGCAGCAAGTACTTAACTACTAAGCACAGACTATGAAAGGGACCACGAAATTTAAGTTTTTTTAACGATCAGCTAGTATACATATACATATACTGCTCAAAACAATTAGCGGAACAAGATTTTTCTCCTTTCTATTGCTTAAACAAAATTAGATTTAAATTAACTTGTACGCTATTTTTTACCTTGTTAATTTGTTAATTACTACAATTAATAAAAAAATTCAATTTGTATTTTTTTTATTAAAAAAAAATTAAAATGTGCATTGTAAACGAAAAACTAATTGGTGATAAAAAAGGTTCATCAAAGAAATATTCTTATATCGTTTGAATGGTGTGGCCTCCATGAGCCCTAATCATGGCTTGACAACGACGCGGCATGCTTCGTATGATCCTCCGAATATCTTCTTGTGGAATTCGCTCCCATTCTTCAATCAACGCTTCAGTGAGCTGCTGCAGTGTTTGAGGTGCAAATGGACGCTTCCGGATGCGCCTGTCAAGCAAGTCCCAAATGTGTTCAATTGGATTTAGGTCAGGGCTCATGGAAGGCCACTCCATTACACGGATTTCCTGCTGTCGTAAGTAATCTGACGTGATGGCTGCAGTATGCGGCCTGGCATTATCTTGCATTAAAAGAAAATCTGGTCCCATACCATATGCTGCGGGCCAAACATGATCTTCGAGCACATTTTCAATGTAAGTTTGAGCACACAAGCGCCCGGGAACAACGACGAGATCTGTGCGCTCGTCCAAACTAACTCCGCCCCAAACCATCACAGAGCCACATCCAAATTTGTCATATTCCTGGACTGCTGCTGCACTGTATCGCTCGCCTGGGCGTCCATCGCAACGTGTTAGACGGAATCGTGATTCGTCAGTAAAAAGCACTGGCCTCCAATGTCGAAGTTGCCAATTAGCGTGATTTTGCGCGAACTGTCGGCGAGCTTGTCTATGTTGAATTGTTAGACGCACAGCCCGAACTGGTCGGCGTGATCTCAAATTGGCTTCCAACAACCTATTTCTTACCGTCTGGTCGGAAATTTCTACACCAGTACCCGTCCTTAGTGTATTTTGTAGATCTCTTGCAGTTGTGGTGCGGTTACGTAAAGCACAGTTGACGATGTAGCGATCTTGCAAACGTATAGTTTTTCTCTTTCGACCTTGACCACGCCTTCGTGAGTATTCTCCCGTCTCACGGTATCGCTCCCAAAGTCTGTAGATAACAGAAGGGGCTACTCCTAGATCATTTCCTACATAACGCATAGTTCGACCCTCTTCAAGCAAAGCGATAGCTCGGGAGACATGCAATTCAGTCAGATCTGGCATTATGACCTAAACTCACTCGGTTCAATGAATAACAATACTCAAAAGGCTCACTTCAATTTCTATTAATACTCAAAAGATTGAAAAAAACTACTTAAAATGTGTTTTCTGTGATTAGAAAGTAATGAAAATTCAAAGACGTCACTTTGTTTTTAGGTGTTTCTGGACACACTGCCACTTTATTATAGGACTACTAACCAAAACGCCGATGCTCTTTTGTTTTTTATTTTCTTCGACAATGCCTTAACGTTATCTAGTGGCCAGTAATAATTAAAACCTTAAGTAAAAAGTTTAGTTCTACTTTAAAGTTTTGTTCCCGTAATTGTTTTGAGCAGTATTTTTATATATATATAGTTATATCAATCCGTCAATTGTTGATCATGCGTGCTATATCGCGAGCACTTTGTTGATCCGAAAACCTATGTTGATCCGGGTGGTTTTTGTTGATCCAATATAATATTTTTCATACAAATGTGGTTCCGACCGGATCAACGATTTACTCCGTTGAAGTTTAGGAAACGCAACCGAAATGTTGATCCAATATACAAATCCACTCCGATAGTTGTTGATCCGATTCAAATGGGCCAATCAGAAGTCAGCAAGTCCCCCTACTGGACATACCTAAGGTATATGGATGGTTTAATTCCTATAATTTATTGCAAGACCACATAATCAGTAACTTTTCTTTATTTATTCAGTTTTTATGTTTATAGGTATGATATATATAATATATGGTAAGGAAATTTGTTGACGACACGCGCTTGTCGCTTACCCGATGTTAAGCTTCGTGGCCAGCTGCATGCATGCCAGCAGCTCAATATCATACAGAGTATGTGATATTGTATTGCACTCAGTAACCCTGAGATATAAGATCTCGAGTCTCGAAGCCCTGTTATTACTCCGCAAATAATGCCCTTCATCCCGGGACACCGTAGCGTTGTTTAGCTACCGCTTGGCCGTTGATTAACTGACAAAGGTCTGGCCTTTCCTCAGACTCGCCTTCGCATGAGTCCTACCAATACTCGATATAGTCTTATATAAGGACAATTTCTAATTGTTATTATAATGTTTAAGTGGCATGGTTATTGGTTACATATATTAATTAAAGTGATAATTTAGAAAGGCAAAAAATGATCTTATCGCATCATATCAAAGTTGAGTTTGGATGACATTTAGAAAAAAACATTTGTTATCAATCATATTTTTTTATTATATAACATCTTTAATACGTTAGACATTACTAACATTTACAAAATAATTTTGAAAATAAACAAACATAAGTAACATTTCCTTTATAGGTACTTAATCGGCAATTCTAACATTTATAACAAACATTATAATTAGCCAGATAATAAGAAAAAAATATGTTCTCAATATTTTTATGAATAATATAACTTAAAAAACATCTTCAAAACATTTATAATCAGTCAGTCAAAGATTATTATTATTAACAGGTAGAAAAAAAAATCACATACCAAATATTCTTACTACCCATTCAATAGCATATAGTCAGGTACTATCACTAAACCACTAACATTAAGGAGACATTACATGTGCCCTTGTTATGAGATCTATTATTATACATAATATATTAATTATATATTATAATAATTACTATTAATATTATGAGGAACTTGTTGTATCACACAGAATCTTCATTAAAATATATTTACTTTTTTTTATAAATATTGTTAACATACGTGTTAAGTTGCATCCAAGTCCTATTTTGAAGAATAGGTTCTTTATTTAAAACTTCCATACATTTGTTTTTGCCTGGATTTATCTTTTTATGTATGTATGATTGGAAATATTTTTTGACTAATTGTATCTCTTCATCCGACCACTTTCTATGACTGTTTTTTTTTCGTTTCTGAATTGGATTATCACTATCACTATCGCTTAAACTTGGGCATTTTATTTTTGTCTTTCTGTTATTTGGTTTAATATTGATATTTTTATTTTTAGAATCTTTATGATATATATTATTTTCTTTGGGTCGTCTAGTTTTACTTTGTTTCTGAATCTGTTTATCATCATCAACATCGCTTTCACTTGTACTACTTGACCATTTTCTTTTCGTGTTGCTTCTGTTTGGCTTAATTTTGGGGTCTTTATTTTTAGGATCTTGGTTGTAATGTTTGTCTTGTATTTTATCGTTTACTTCATTATAGTCTCCAATTTCTATATCGTCCATGTTCTTATTGACTGTAGTTTCTGGTGTTTCGATAGATATTTTGGGGTTTGTAAGTAAGATGTTAGATTGGTCACTTTCTATTGCCGAATTGTTTAAAGATGGCGTCCTTTCCTCAAAGTTTTTAGTTTCTTGGTATGATTGAGACCTAATCGTTTCTATTATGTTACTCTTCTTCTCCATTAATGTATTTTCATATTCTAAGAGTTGAGATCCTACAACAGCTTTTTGGAGTACCTGCATAGGCAATCTATAATTTTGTGCATGAACTGATATATTATGCCCTAGAAATCCTGCCAATTGCTCAGTATAATGATCATTTTGTTTAGAATGAATTTGGGACATTGTAGCAATATGATGTCTCATTCCGGTTGATGTTATCATCTCGGGGCGTTTCAAATTACACTGTTTTTTTATCATATCTAAACACTTACCGCCCTCAAAAGGTTCTTGTGTACCAGGTCTTGGAAATAAATATTGGTTGGAGCTTGGAATTTTTAAATCTTCACGGCAAGCTATTATTAAATCTATGTTTTCTCGCATTATTTTTGTTAGCAAAATAGGCACACCCCTTGTTCTTTTACCGGGAATCTGAAATACGTCTAATTCTTTAATACACTTCCTCTGCTCTACTGTTAAACTTTCCAAAACCTTTTCGGGCACTTCTTCATTCTTTCTATTGATGTAAAACGTAAGTTCAGCTTCAGCTACGTCACCTGAACGTTTTCGGTCCAACATTATAATGTGAGCTATTGTTACTATGCACAATAATTCATAATTTAAAACACATCTATCTTTTCTCAATCTGCTCGCATATTTAATTTCTAATTTATGGATTTTTTGCATAACGGTATTAATGTCACTGTCCAACGGCATGACTTTTTCTTTCGTTAAGTGATTTCGTTTTCTACTTTTCTCAGCGTTCGACGAAATCTCCCACTCCCAATTGATTTCAATTAAATATTTAAAGTCATCTAGTTTTTTTTTATATGCTTCCTTATAGGCTGTGGATTCGTTTTGCATAATAGATTGTGTGTATAGTATTTCAACACATCCCAAGACAGCGGGACGCATACGTGAGGGTATGCTTATAATTTTGACCATGCCTGTATGTTCATTAAAGCCACACATTACTTTTATGGCACTTACAAATGTTTCATATTTTTCAGGATCAATTGCGTCAGTGAGATTTTCAATAGTTGTGTCTTTTTTCCGCAATAAAATTAAAAGAGTAGCTAAATCTCTCATTTTGGAGCAAATCGCTTTACGACTTCGTCGTTCTTTTTCTTCTTCAAGAGACGAGCACCGTATGCTATGATTAATGGATCATTTTTAACTACTAATGAAACT